AATATTATATGCATGGTTATATTTCAATATTATATGCATGGTTATATTTCAATATATCATGTGCATTTATACAATTATATATATTTCAATATAACATGGGTATTTATATACATATATCTCAGTATTATATGGGTAATTATACTTACTTCAATATGACATGTATTTATATTTCAATATTACCTGAATAATTATACGTATTACATGGGTATTTATATATATTTTAATGGGTAATTATATACATTTCAATGTCTATGGGTAATTATATATATTTTAATATTACATGGGTAATTATATATATTTCAATATTACACCGGTAATTATATATATTCAATATTTATGTGTATTTTTATATATTTCAATGGGTATTTAATTATACATATTTCATTACATGCGTTTTTGATATATTTTTCAATATTACATGGGTATTTAATATTATATATATTTCAATATTATAGGGGTATTCATACTTAATTCAGTTTGAATATTGCATTTAGATTAAATTAATAATTTTTTTACGCCCACATTTTCATGTGGACGTATATTGTTGTCGCCCCTGTCCGTCCACAATTGTTTGTGAACAGTCTACAGGTCGCAATTTTTATTCGATTTCAATGAAACTTGAAATATAGGTTTATCACCCTAAGATCTCGGTTCCTTTCGATATTGGCATGTATCGGACTGTAACTTCATGGATTATGGCCCCTGATTGTACGAAAAATCACGTTTTTAGCTTGTGAACACTGTCGAGGTCACAATTTTTATCGGATTTGGTTTAAACTTGAAATGTATGCTTATAACCCAAAGATCTCGGTTCCTTTCAATATTCGTGCATATCGGAACGTAACTCAGGGGCGTCGTGCCAAAATTTTCTGCAAGTGTGTTCATGGTAAATTAAATTTACTGGCTGCGGAGAGTGTTGGCGGTAGCGCCGCCCACATCGAATGCATTAGGCATGAGCATGCAAGGGGGTTACGGGAGGGGGGGGGCCTCCCCCGGAAAATTTTTAAAATTAGAAGCCGGGAAACGCCATTTCGATGGATTAGAGACAATAAAGTTATGATTGAAAAATGGTCGTTTTTTTAGTGATAATTGTAATTTATCACTCGAAAACTGAATTATATTTTATTCATCTCAACTTCCATTTAATTATTGAATGGACATTTTGAACAACTTCATGCATGGTCAAATACGTATTTAGATGTATTTGTATTTTAATAAAAAATACTTTCAGTCTTTATTTTTGACACCCGTATATGGATATTTTATCAAATACAACATACAATCATAAATAGGGATTTACACAACAAGCACAAAATCAACTCTGTACGTAAACCCCCGGATGGCTGGGATTCGGCTTGGATTTAAACAGGATTTCATTGATTGATTAAATGGCGATGTGAGCGGAGATTAACCGTTACGTTGATGTCATACTCCCGGAAATTTTAGATCGAGGCTAAATGATAGAGTGTACGAAGCGAGTTATATAGAAATATAGCTCTATGGCGAGGCCTTAACAAATGATATCTAAACTAAAGTGCAATAAACTAAACACGGATAATGACAAATTATACAATTCCTGGAGACCATGTGATGACTAAAACATACGGACAGGTCTTCTGTCTTAATAATATCAATAAAAATATTTTTATTTCACTGAGAATTTGGGGGGGCCCAGCCCCCCACCCCAGGCCCCAATGGGCACGACGCCACTGACGTAACTTCCTGAATTATGGCCCCCGATTGTACGAAAAATTGCGTTTTTAGCTTGTGGACCCTATAGAGGTCATAATTTTTATCCGATTTAAAAAAACGTATTATTATATCACCGTTACACCCTAAGGACGGCTGAGTTCGAATTTCGGGAAAATCGGTTCAAAACTGACAAGACAAAATGGCCGCCCTCCGTTGTCAAATAGCGTAAAAATATGGTATATCAAGGTTGTGGATCCTATAGAGGTCACAATTTTTATCCGATTTTGTTGAAACTTGAAATGTAAGTTTATAACCCAAAGATCTCGGTTTCTTTCGATATTTGCGCATATCGAATTGTAATTTCCTGAATTATGGCCCTTGATTGTAGGAAAAATCACTTTCGTTTTAGCTTGTTCTCTATCCATCTCTCGAAAATGTGGGCGTATCCTTCCTGGCAGCCTCTGGTTTTATAAGAGTATTATCTTGTATATTTGCAGGTTTGAAATTGTGTGTTTTTTATACACCCACATGGATATGTGGACATATATTGCTGTGTCCCCCCCTCCCCTCCGTCGTCCACAATTTCCTGTGAATGCTCTAATGCCAAAAGTCATCATCCGATTGTTTTAAAATTGATATATGTTGTAATATATAATTTCTGTTTATTACATATAGAGTTATTGCCCTTGTTTCACTTTGTTGAACCTTCAAAATTTGCTTTAAATTACTTCCAGAGTTAAGGCCCTTGTTTCAGTTTGTAGCACCTTGTGAACCCTCAAACGACAAAAATTATAATCTGATCTGTATGAAATTGTCTTGTAAATGCCCCCCAATTACCTATAAAAGAAAAAATATGCTACAACCCTTGTCGACTACTCGGACGATTTAGCTGCTGTGAACGTATGTTTTGTTGCCTGGCAACCTATGTTTTTAAATTGGAAATGTTATGTGATTATACATGATGATAAAATATATTTTCTATTCCAGTGTGGTATACCAGCTATTGGGTTCTCACCAATGAATCATACACCAATCTTACTACATGATCATAATGAATATCTTAATGAAGACATATTCTTACGAGGCATTGAAATCTACCAGGAGATTATACCCACTCTCGCTAATGTGCAATAATTTGTATCATATCTGTTTTTTTTAAAAAATAATGTATGAAAATATAAATTCCTCATCACAATTAAACCCTCAACATGCCAGAATTATGTTTAAATTTAGACAACATACACAATAATAAAAAAAGACGTATCTAAAATCATTTTGGTCAAAAATGATTCAGATTGATTATGTTTAACCGTTTATAATGTATATTGGTTGATTTTACACCGCCATCTTGATTTGTCTTGGATAAATGAAGTATTAATCATTCAGCTGTCTTTTATCGTATTCCAGGGGTTGGGGTGGGCGCATGGTTAGCACGTGCGCGCTGTATCATCACGGGGGTCTTTCATTGAGTCAACTGGCGTGGTTTCGATTCTCCGGTTGGACGTGACAAGGAGTAGGGTCGCTTGTGGCACCTCGTGTGTTTTCTCCAGGTTCTCCGGTTTCCTCCCACTGCTAAATACCCCTACGCGCACGCGAATTATTGAAATAAAATCGAACCATATGTTAGTCCCAAAATGACCTAGTTAGTGTCGAGTGGAGGTTAAACCCCCTCTCTCTCTGTCTCTCTCTCTCCCCCCCCCCCCTTGTATTCCACACGCTAGTGTAATTAATCATGAAGGTTTGTCTGTACTCCGTAACTCGGTTGACATTAAAGATGCATTATGTGAGATTTAGATAAAGAGCTGACCATTCATGCTCTACTAGTTCAAAAAAAGATAGTTCAAAATGAATATATTGAAAATTGCTGTCAAATCACCTTATTCTGAATGAAGTTTTCAGTTTTTGAAGTTTTCACAGTTATAGTCTCAAATGTCAAGTATTGTCGTGATCCAGCCGGGGCGATCAACTAGACTGTTTGTTATCGATAATAAGAGAACTTCTTACGTGCTGAAATCTATAGTAAAACTGATGTGTATGGTGAAATAGTTCCGGCTCGTTCATCCGGACTAAAGAGGAGGCGTGCTATATATAATAAGTGGCGTGCAGTGGCAGCAGACGACGGAAAGTAGTGCAAATATATTATGCATTCTTACTACACTCTCCCCCATCGTGAAGAAGAGGTACATGCGGTAAGTGGATAATATACTATTCAAAAAAAGTAGGGGATATTTGATTTTGGGGGCATAATACTAAAATATGCAAATGACAACGAAAAAAGTCACTATAGAACCAAACAGAAGAAACATTTCCAGTTACATGTGACGCCCAAACGCACCAATAGCTACCGCATGGAATGCAGGTGATGCTTGGGATCATCATGGGGGTCCAACCCAAGATTTGCACGACTCTGACTTTGAATGTTACAGTCATTGTGGCATTGAATTCCAGGGTGGAAACATCAGTTTAATTGTTTTAGTGACCAGAAAACAAATTTTGATATGCGTCGGCTTACCCAAAATGAAAGGTTACGTGCCCTTGGCATGCTACAGATCGGCACAACACAGGCGGTTGTGGCGCGGACGATGAATGTTTCTCAGTCTGTCATAAGCAGGCTATGGTCCAGATACCGTGATACACAATCTGTACAGGACAGACCACGCTCAGGTCGACCAAGGGCGACAACTCAAGCCCAGGATCGATTTATCCGTACCTTGGCCTTGAGAAATCGTGTCATCACAGCAAATCAGATCAGCGCTCGTCTTCAAACAGACACTGGTGTGAGAGTGAGTGGCCAGACGATTCGGAATCGACTGCATAGGGGTCACCTTCGCGCCCGACGTCCTCGCGTGATCCCTTGTTTGAGAGATCATCACATTCAGGCAAGACGTCGTTGGTGTAGGGATCGTCAACACTGGGATAATCGACGCTGGAGCAATGTGATGTTTTCAGATGAGTCAAGGTTCACTGTTGATTTTTTGGACAGACGTAGGAGGGTGTGGCGTCGTCGAAACGAGCGCTTCCAAGACGTTAACGTCATCAGACATGATCGATTTGGGGGTGGTTCTGTTATGGTGTGGGGAGGCATCACTGTTGCTGGAAGAACGGCTTTACATGTTGTTGCAGGGCGTGTTACAGGCCAGTACTACCGGGACAACATCTTGGCAGTCCATGTTGTGCCGTTCGCACGACGTCATGGCCGCCGTTTCATCTTCCAGGATGACAACGCAAGATGTCACAGGGCCAGGATCGTTACAGGTTACCTCCAACAACAGAACATCACCACATTACCTTGGCCAGCACTGAGTCCCGACCTCTCCCCCATCGAGCATGTCTGGGACATGCTTGGACAGAGGTTACGTCAACGTCAACAACGTCCTGCCAATGTCCAAGAACTTGCTGCTGCGTTGCAACAGGAATGGGACAATCTGGACCAAAATGACCTTAGACGTCTCATTAGGAGTATGCCACGTCGGATCAATGCTTGTTTGGCAAACAGAGGAGGATTTACCCGTTACTGACTTGGTTGTGATGCTGTGGTAACTTTGCTGTTTGACCCCGGGTATCATTTTACCCTTATAATGGTCAGTCTGTGCCTTACTTAGTCTAACGATCATTTGGAATAAATCGATGAATGTGAACTTCATTTCATTTTGTCATTTGTTTCTTCGTCAGTTTCATTAGGTGACTTTAATAACACTTAAAAATCAAATATCCCCTACTTTTTTTGAATAGTATATACAAATAATATATATACATTGTTCAAATATTTACAGTTGTTTAACATATTTTTTTTCCATAGGCATCGTGCTGTCTAGCTCGTCTTCCAGGCTTTGACGTAATCGTTTGAGCCACACAATATTGACAGGAACCGTCCTTTTTGCGCACTGACACAGGCGGGAAACCCCAGCAGCTAATAATTTCTTAAGATGTTCCTCCTATACCCCCTGAAAACCTAAAGGTGTTCTAGTTCTTTGCTAGATGGTGCATGTTAGCCAATGCCGATCTTATGTCGATCTGCCGTTAGACATCCCAGATCGAGATCGTGCTTGACAAAAACATCTTCATACTGAACAAGCAAATTCGATAAAAGAGAACTATCATTACATGATATTTCGTCACCTGATCTCTCAAAAAAGTCCTGTAAATGAGCAAGAACCCTCCTACAGTCCTCATTTGAAGTAGATGGTTTTACATTGACGGATTTGATATTAAGGGGAAAGTCAAGTTGGTTCGTCAGAATTTCCTCTGCATTGGCAATATGATCTCCGTTTTTGATATTGACAGAGGAATTAGAATCATATAGAATGTTACCGTAGCCAGTTGGATTTGTACCTACAGAAGCAGAAATTAGAACCTCCAAAGGCGTGGCAATTGGCTCGATAACATATGCTCCTTCAAGTTCCTCTTCGATGTGAACCTTTACTACTGATCGAATATTGGAGGTCTTAACTGATGTTTTAAATTTGGCAGATACCACATCGTCTCCAACTGTAAGGGTCGAATTACGGAGGTTGACGAGGCATTCGTGAGCCTGCATAAAATCTATTCCCAACAGCAAAACATCATCAATAGGTGCAGAACACGCATTAATGAAACAAAGTTTGGAACCAATACGAACAGGAACATTATTTACCATCTGTCCTTCAATCGTTCCAGAACCAATCCCTTTGAGTCGAACAGATTTTCCCAGAATGATTCCCTTGAACTTAACAATGTATGATTTCTGAATTCAAGACATCATGGCTCCGGTATCTACGACAGCATCAATGTCCTTATTGAGATCGAAACAGGAACTACCAAACTCACGCCAGATGTTTCGCGAATAACTACTTCCGTTGAAATTGGGCTATGGGTTACAACTGAAGGTTTGCCCCCAACCTCAGTTGCTAGCAGTTTAAAGATTCGTCCTTAACCGGTCCAGTGTTCCGACGATGCTGATCCCTACGAGATCTGTCTTCCTGCTGGAAATTGATATTCGAAGCATCCGACGATAAAGATTGAGTATTCCGAAAAGGACTGGTATTCCGAGGACTCCCCATTGGAAATCGAGAAAGGGCTATCACTGCGAAACATATTGCTAGTTCGAACTTGACTACGGGAGAATATGTTTTCGTCCATGCGTGGACTAGATGAACGCGGATTATTGTACGGCGAAGAATCATAACGTTGATAATTTGATGGGAAACTTGGCAAAGGACTTGGTGAGCGGGGATTACTGTACTGTGAAGAATCGTTACGTCTGTAATTAGAGGGTGAACTAGGCGAAGGCTGATTATTAGATATGAAATCATCCATGCGTCGGTAATTATACATCAGACTGTTCGACCGTTGCTGTTGATGATAAATCTGATAATTTGGAGCATAAGGCCTGGATGCTGTGGTCTTGAAATTATCAACAGGAGTAAGAGAATTATTGCGTGCCTGCTCCTTTAATATCTTTCCGATATTTATTAAGACCTCTTTCATGGATGAAATATCCTCTCTGCAAAAACCCTCTTCTTGTTTGGTGAATCTTACTTCGAAATCCTCCGGACAACTCACCTGCCTTTGATTATAGGACACTGATTTCTGCGAGCCAAAAATAGCTTTGGAGTTAGCCTGCGAAGATTTGATATATTTTACCGCCTTATATATATTTCGTGGGGATTTTTCCAGCGCAGATTTAGCAGCAGCTTTATCCTTACATCCCCGTAAAAAGGCTTCCACAGCAATATAGTCCACCGACGAGTTATTAGGATAGGGTGACCCATAACCATCAAGTGCTAAGAAATGAACTCTCTGAGCGAAATCATCCAAAGACTTACACTCCAATTGCTTTGCATTTTGGAGTTCTCTACGAGAAATAACAGGGGCATCTTTCCTGCTGAAACGACGCTTTAGCTCTTTTACCAGCCCATGATACTTACGAATGTGTAGTCTGTTAACATATTCAAGGGCTGACCCACGAAGGCAGTCAGACATTCTCTCAAATAGCCTCTTCTGAGACCAATGACACCGCCGTCCTACGCGGTCAAATTGATTAAAGAACGACTCCCATGAAGTCTTGTCATCCCCGCAAAACACAACATTTTTGGACGATTAGGACTGTACTGCCGCGATGTTTCACCCTCAGATTCTGATTCTGCTGCAGAAGACTCCTCCCGAACAAAAGAACGCTCACGAGAACGACCAGAGGATGAAGAAGATGAACATCGATGTCTTTGGGTTGATTTGGAATTTACGTTGGGATCTTCCGTCAACTCATTAAAGGTAGTTTCCTTTTTAATTGCGTACTGGTAGGTGTTGACTCTGCTTTAAATTTGGCAGGCCTTGCATATAAGGCAAATTCCGATCGTAACTGCTGTCCCAGGTTATCTAATTTTGTTGTCAAATTTATCTGATAA